CCTCGGCGATGCTCTATCTGTAGCGTGTAAATTATAAAACTTGGGGGGTCGTAAGCCCCTCGAGGTCGACCTTTAGACATCTGAAGAAAAAGTCTATCTGCGTTTGTGATGGCCGCCAAATTTCTCCAAGTATCTGCTCTTGCATAGCACAAATGCATTGTAGCAGAGTGCACTGGTTACATTGGCAGACCACAAACACTCCCTAACCTTCTTCAGTCACATCTATGCTATGCTACAGAGAAATCAATCAATGACCATCAAGCGAAAGAAACATATGTAACAGAAATTCAGAGCAGTTAATATGACCATGTCCCTAGAAATTGACAGTTCAGGGCTACAGGCCACATCCTTTATCGTTAACCACCCGGGAAATGACAGTTCAGGGCGCATATGTATCCTTGGCACCTCCATGGCTCCATCAGCAATCATCCCCAAAACAACACGGGTGCCCAAAAAGAATCGTTCACTCCATGTGCTGGCACCCACTGAAACGTACCTCCGCGACGGTAGTTCTGAGTGAGGCGGTGATGAGGCTCCCCGTCGACAACGGCAACCTTTGGCCACTGCGCTCCGCGCCAGACTCGCTAGCGCGTAGCGGCAGAGTGGCCTTGCAGCACTGACCCGGCGGCGGCCCCAGCTCCTCTTTCTCCTCCCCCATCCCCCCCTTCCTCCATCACTGCCCAGAATCCCTCGTCCCTGCAGAATCCGGCCATTTGGATAGTTTTTTTTTCGCGCGGAATCGACGACTCTAGGCAGTCTCTCTCGTTCTCGGCTTCACCGAGTCGATTTAGCTCATATATCGTGTACTCCGATTGAAGACTCGAAGGACAGCGTTTGAGGTTGCAAGCAGGAAGCAGCACGAATCCAGTGCGGTTTGAGCGTTCATTTGCATTCCGATTGAAGGCTACTTCCTCCGGCCAAAAAAAAAGGATCAAATCTATAAAAAGATCATTGGGTTGATTGTAAAATTTATTTTCATATTAACTCTGACTAGAGACATACATATTGATATTTTTCCTAAAGATTTGGTTAAAGTTTCAAAATTTTGACTTATCTAAAATCTAGAATTACAAAGTTTCAAAATTTTGACTTATCTAAAATCTAGAATTACATTTTTTTTTAGATAGATGGAGTACTCCATCCGTACCAAAACCTCCATCCTAAAATGCACACGAGACTTTTCAACAGATTAGTGGAGAAAAATGACTCTGGTACCCTGCTTTATTGCAAATGATTCCCTTAATTGGTTGGTTGAGTTCCTATTTTAAGTGTGTGTGTTTTTAACATCCTATTTAAAAGTGTGTTACTTGCAGGCATGGCAACAAAAGTTAGCGTAGATTAGAACATAATTATTTTTAAGTTCTACAGCATTACTTCAACAGTACTTATTTTTAAGTTTCACTATTTAAAAGACACTACTTCAACAGTATTTTCGAGGACAACTTTGGACAATCACTGAGCGATGACGGTGTTTTTCTCACAACAAATCATTATAAAAAGCATCAACATTTATTCTAAGATAAGTCTCCAAAAATAGAAAAATTCAAAACTATAAAGTTGTAGATCTCATCAAGGTCTACTTTTAATTATCTTCATTTTCATTTGAAGGGTTTTCTATTTTTTTGAAATTTGAGTCTCATTTCAAAAATAGAAAACCTTGAATACGTATGTCTGATGAAATTTTTATATGTGAATTGTGAGACTACAAAGATCTACAAAAAACTATGTTTCATCAAACTTTCAGTTTTGAAATTTGAGGACTTAAGAGTATCTCTTAGAGTATCCAAAACACTCCCAATCCGTGATTTTTTTGACAGGATATCGGTAAAAGATAAGCCAAATTTCAAAAACCATCTCTAAGAGTATCCAAAACACTCCCAATCCAGGATTTTTGACAGGATAGGAAAAAACCATCTCCAACAACTTCCAATCCCACCTCCCAATCTTTTGGCAAAAATCCGTTTTTAGCGGGATAAGTTAAACTATTTAAAGTTTAACTAAACTTATAGAAACACTTGCTAATATTTATGACACCAATATATATACTATGATACTTATATTTGGCAATATAAGATACTTATATTTGGCAATATAAACATTAGTTTGCTAGTTTATAAATATGTTCAAACTTCAGATAGTTTGACTTAAGACAAAACTAAGACACAAGTTTTTTTTTTTTGGACATAAGGCTTGTTAACAACTAGCAAGCATGCCCATACACGAACAGGACATACGCTATTCGTTGCAATGAAACGTATAACTTGTTGCAACTTGTAAGATGCCTGTCCCAATAATAATTAGCTAACTATCTTTGTATAATTTAACTAGGCTTAGTCTAACCTTATTTCCATTATACTAAAATGCACCGTAGGTTTTGTTCGCAAAAAAAAAAATGCACCATAGGTTTTTAAGTTGGTTTTATTTTTTTTACTAAATAGAGATTTAATAAACACTTAAGAACATTTAAAAATCTTTAGACATCTAAAAATTTTGGAGAAAAATTCTAGAGAGAGATTGGAACACAAACAAATAAAATAACTAGAAATCATGAAACATATCTATAAGCTTCCATAAATTAGATTTAGCTCTAGGGAAATGGAAAAATATCTAGAAAAACCTTGAAAATTCCCAAAACATTTTAATCAATTTCTAAATGCATTTCAAAAACTTTCCCGACAAAAAGATGCAACCATAATGAATGCAACATACATTAATGTTGAATGCATTCATGCTGGTTGTATCTCATATTATTTATTATAGTGAAAAGTTGTTAGAACATGTTTATTGATTGTAATGTTTTAGGAATTCCCTATATTTTTTTGGATATTTTCCCATTTTTTTAGAGCTAAATCTAATTTCTTGAAGCTTTTAGATATATTTTCATGAGCTCAAATATTTTATTTGGACTTCATGTCCCAAGCTATCTCTAAGATTTTTCTCAAAATTTTTATAAGCTTAGAGATATTTTTCGTGCTTTAAAATCCTTATCAGGTGTTTACTAAAACGTTTTTAATTTAAAAATGATAAAACCAGCTTCCAAATCAATTCTGACCTGGACATGGAAGTAATTTAAAGGGTTTTGAGAGTTTAGAGAGGCAGTTTGCAGAATTTTGGACTTTGCGAAGAAAACCTGAACATGAACTACGACGATAGTTCTACAGGCAAAATTGATTCTTTCCCCTTACAGATATGACAGTGTCACAGGGCATGCTACGAATCAAAGTCTCCAAAGCTATGCTGTTGAGTGGACTATTTATTCTTCTATTCTATTTATTTAGAAGTTCAAATCTAAACATGTACAAAACCTAATAGTGACATTGATGACCAATTGGTCATTTTGCATACTATAAACAGTCAAGTGGGCTCCCTTCGCAGTGTCAACAAGACACTTCATACGTTTAAGTTACTATATATATGATTCAAAAACAAACAGGATAAACAGGAGGCAGTAAACCTGAAAAATAAACAAAAGATTTGTTTCCCATCCATTTACAAGTAGTCGATCTATAATGCAATCGGTTACACTATTTAGGATTTATCACATGAAAATTATACGGGAAAATTTGGCACCAGAAGATTTATGTCAGTCTGTTCCAGACTTCCAAAATTAGTACATAATAGTTTAAGTAGTGGAAACTGTTCTGTCCAGTCAGAGGGAGTAACAAGCAAAACATTCCAGCATAATTTCTTCTGGAATAGGAACCGTGAAAAACAAGTGTCGAATAATATGTGAAGTGATCAAGATTCCTTGTCAAGCAACAGCTGAGATCTCAGAGGCTTGTCTTGATGTGTATAGCAGCATACCATCCAGCACTGAAGGACTTCCTACCCTTGTACCAAAAGCAATGGAGCCAACAGACGAATCGAAGCCGATGAGAACAAAATCAGCAGCTTTATTCCACTCAGACATGTCCCAGTACAACTCCTATGCAGGCAGCGTCTATCCATGCCGATCTATGTCCTACACTTTCCCTCCCTGTTCCTTTTTCTCACAAAATCAAAGTGCCGCGCGTCCTATGACTGTACTGTCAAATCTGGAGGGCCTGGGGAAACAGCACCACGGAGCGATAAAATGCTTTGTCTTTAGTTTTGCGCCGCAGCTATGCGTACTGGAAGGGGAGAATCAGATCCCATGCTCTCCATTATTATGCACAAGAAACAGAGCATTGATGGCGCTCATCAGATGAAGTAGAATGTTTGGGGGAAGATGGATCAGGTAACAAGTACCATGCACAGAAATTATCGGGACAGCCATCCAGTAAAGTAAAAAAACTTCACCGTGAGGACATATATATCTTGAAATATGCAAGAGGAATGACATCCAGATGGATTTCCACCCTGAGTTCACCTATCAATGGGCCCTCGTGTCAGTCTAGTTCACACCTTGTACACAAGAAGTTTATAACAAAATAATTTGCAGCTATCAACCCTTCATAGTGGAATTTGTGTAATACTGTACAGTTTTCTAATAATTGTGTCCTGCTCCCATCTTTTGTTCAAAAAGCCAAGGTTCCACTTTGCTAATAATGCTAGCTACAGCATCGGTGGTGCTGTCGCATGATCCCACAAAGTAGCAAAACAGTACAGTCCAAGACTGCAATCCCAGCAAAATTGACTTTAGATTCTGGGAGCATCAGTTCCGGTGGTGTTTTGTCCAGAAGGGTCCAATCAGAGGCTCAAAACCATCATTTTAGTTGCCCAATTGGAAGCTAGCAACACTGAAAAAATCGTCTGTAATCCCGCAGACGAGTAATGAACCCCTCCTCGTTAGCTTTGCTGTATGTTAAGCGTGCCTAGTTCTCTACAATCTAATGGATGTACAGTGTATGTTTTATTGCAGAACGTGGTTGGTGGTGCCATTGCGTCTGCAAGGCTACAGCTAGTGTATAAATACCTGGGTTGAGGATGAGGGAGGTACCAAACAAGGAGGAACTGCCATCAGCTGGTTGCTACCAAGGATAACCACCAGTGCATCTTGGCAAACACCCCAGCCTGCGTCGATGGGCCGTCATGCACTTGCGAAATCGGCAGCTCTGCTCCGGTAACTAGTAATACACTCTGAACCTGCAATGACAAACCAACAGTGATTAGATAGGTGTTCATTCTGGTTGCTTCCACCTTGATGATCTTGAAGTATGGCTGAACAACAAGGATTGATCGCATATTATACTGCAAAAGACTTGTATTGCCACATGCAGCACCATTTCAGCTCTTTGAAGTAACTGATTAAATTGCCATATGCAGGGAAGTTAAGAACGAACAAAGGACTAACCTTGTGAAGCGACTGGAGCCTACAGAAGTGAGGTCCCCAGAAACATCATTGTGGGTGCCACACCCAAGGACAGGGATCTACTACCCCAAGGGCTTTGAATGGGTCATGGAGGACGTCCCCAGCAGTGCAGCTTCATTCCAGCAGTCATACTGGTTCAGGACTGGGGAGGCAGAGCCAGCAAGCTCTACTACATCAAAGAACGATTCTGCTTCCTTTGACCATCCATTTGTTTGATGTATGAGAGGCTTTGCACTGGAAAAATATAGAAACACACAGCTGTGTGTTTTCAGGAAGAAGAGAGATACAGCTGTGCAAGCCATCACCATCATGCCAGGTCCATGGACGCTTCATGCTATGACATATTTACCAGTTGTTCTGATTCCAAGTGTGCAAAAGCGTGAACTCTGCTTACCCACCAACAAATCAGAAACAACATCCGCCTTTCTTTTGTATTTTTCTTAACATTCTGTTAAATCTACTTTAAAAACCTGCCCTAAACTGTAGCTTCAGAGCAGTGTTTTTTAAGCTTATCCTAAGAAAAGAAACTAATCTAAGCTTTGGTCCTCATACTGCTAAGGGAGAAGCAAACTTGAAATATCATCATAATACTGATGGTTTCAGCAAACTTATTTTCATAATTTTGTGCCAATTCAAATTTCAGATCAAGTCTACATATGTTACAGCAACTCACAAAGTAACATAAATGATAGCGAAGTGCCTTCAACCATGAAAAGTAAATGAATAGCATGTAGCGCAAATATTAGGATCATTTCTTCCTAGTTGAAAATTCATTCATTAACATCATCCTGGTTACAGAAAATGAAAATAAGTGTAGCATAACATTGCTAACAAAGAACACACAGGTATGTAATTAAACTGCAATTCAGCACATAGAACACAGTCTCTGTGAATTATATGGTGGCAGGCCTACTAGCCATAAGGACGAGCCTTTTCAGCAAGCTCCGGTGCAACAACTTTTGGTGCTTCATCTCCTTTAGCCTTCTTCTGAAATTCAATTCCCTGGAACTGGACTCTTGAAGATCGATACTGACAACCAAAAGCATTTCCAAAGCCCCATCCTAGTCCAAGACCAACTCCACAGCCCCCACCTATTTTTAACAAGATGAATTTTAATAATCCACTAACAAGGAAATGTAAGTGGTGATAAGCTCAGAAGTAGTACCGATACCCAAGCCGAACATGTTAAGAGGCATTCCTGTGGTAGAAAAGCAAACGAAAAGCATGTCATTTCTTGATCATGAATGCACATTGTCATTGAATACTACTCCTTCCAATCACAAATAAGTGACATTTTGGGGTTATCTTAAATGAACCTTTCTAAACATTGGTTGCATATTACTCTCTATACCAAGTTCGGAATTTAAAATAACACAGAATTACAAATAGAGCTGTCCCCAAATATAGATTCATAAAAGTATACTTTAGTAAGATCATGTTGGTCAGGTGGATTGGTTTCAGATTACTTTGCAGCTGTTAAATAGCTCATTCATGAGCCATGGAAACTAAACCCCTACCCCTCCACAAGTGTCGGGAACCAATCCATATGCACAATGTTGGTTTGTAGTCGCTTTTGCAACTAGTTAGGAGTGAACAGATATTACACAACTTGGGAAAAATCACAAGGGAAACAAGCCATCTTGAGGCTACTGACAACTTGGGGACTGAACTGCAACCGCATGCCTGTCCATAACTTGATAAGTCATTTCTACCGCCAAAATAACGCCAAGTATAGCCAAGACTACAGGAAATCAACAACACAGAATCCAAAAAAAAGGATCCCGCCAGTTCAATTCGACAAGTTAAGATTTCTAATTCACGCCTACAACCTTCAGAAAAGTTCAGCACATTAATCGTCTCCCACCAAAAAAAAAAGAGAGCAATTAATCACGCGAAAACGAGCAGGCTCTCACCTCCGAACCCCCACCCGACACCGAACCCGCAGCCGACGCCAAACCCTGCACCGAATCAAACAGAGAGAAGAATTCAACAAACCAAAGAAGTAGCGAGAATCAGAGCAACATCAAGATCTGATCTTGGCGCCTGAAACGATGGGGGCTTTGGTTCGCTCACCGATCCCAATCCCAGGGCCAGTGAATGTGCTGACCACCATGGCTCGCTCCCTCCCGCTCCTTCCCCTGGGTAGACCGACGAGACAGAGAAGAAACCAAGGAAAAGCGAACCCGACCCCCTGCGCTTCACTCCGGACTCCGGTGGTGCAGACGTGGTGACGTCAGCGACACATCGGCCGGGCCGTAGTGGGCTTACACATTGGCTGATGGGCTTTCCCGTCGCTTTGGGCTAGGCTCACCTTCCTGGCTGGACAGGATCTTCTGGGCCCATCGACTCCAGAGTCCAAACCGTTTACCTACCGTTGTCTCCCACGTCGAAAAAGCGGATAAAGCTTTCAAACGCGCGCGCTGCGGCGATATCGACCGTCCAATCCGACGACTACTCCATCCGACGGCTAGAACGTCCCAGGCCGGCCTACTACCGACGACCTCGCTCGCCCGCGGCTACCGCGGCGAAACCTTATCCCCCCAGAACCTCGCGGATAAACCCTAGCTGCGCGCGCACCCCGGCGGCGATGTCGGCGACGGCGGCGGCGATCCGTTCCGGGGAGCTCCTCGCGTGCGCCGTCGCGCTGCGGCGGGCGCCCGTGGCGGTGTCGGTGGTGTCGGTGCGGACGAGGGCGAGGGGCGCCGCCGTGGCGGTGCGGGCGGAGGCGACGGCCGAGGGGGTAGGGAAAGGGGGGAAGAAGGCGGCGGCAGGGAAGAAGAGGCCGGCGAGCGGGATCACCAAGCCGAAGCCCATCTCTCCGGAGCTGCGGGAGTTCGTCGGCGGCGCGCCGGAGCTGCCCCGGACCGAGGCCATCAAGCTGGTCTGGGCGCACATCAAGGGCAACAACCTCCAGGTTCGATCCCCGCCCCCTCGCTATCTATCCCTGTGCGTGTTTTCGTCTTCTAGCATGTGATGGAGAGCAGCAGCGTGACTGTGTGGTAGTGAGATTTAGTTGTGTTTTGGTTATCAATATTGTGGCTGCATTGTGTTTGCTTCTCTGATCTGATTGAGTCCGATCGGTAGCTGAATTAATCTGGGTCTGAGAATTCTGTTGCATGTTTTGGTTGTTTTGTTTTCCTCCCCTATTTTTGGTGGTACGAGGAACAAGTATAGTAATGTTGTTGGTTGGCAACTGCAATTGAGTGGAGGATATGTACGAATTTGTGAGGAAGGATATGCATATAGCATAAATAGATGTGCCATTGCTGTAATTGCTAATCTGTATGTTTAGTTTTGTTTTGTTTTGTTTAGATTATTTTCGTGGATGACTGGCAGTGTTCCACAAGGGGCTAGGCGGAGGGGCACCTCCTCGCCTAAGGGGGTAGGCTGAGGATAGCTGAGAGCAACGAATGGATAAGGTGGGAGGTGAGGCGAGGTTAGGGATCAGGCTTGCTGCTCGGACTTTGCTTGGGCTGCTTTTATGGGCCTTTCTATATAACTCTTGGCCCATTGGTCTCCTGTTTCTTCTTTTTCTTTTATATTTTTAGAGGTAAATATGCATGGATATGAAACGCCTAGAAAACCCCTTGGAAATGCCTAGGCACGCCTAAGCTATAGTTGGGAGGGTCACCGCCTAGAGAGCGCCTAGCGCCTTTTGTAACCTTGATGACAGGGCTGAGAAAGTTTATCTAGATTTTCTAAATGCTGTGTTTTGATGGCAGCATTTTTCATTTCCTGGTTGGCAATGCTTGTTCTTATCTGAATAGGACGAATTAGTGGCATCTGTGGTGGATACTGTATAGTTTGTGGGTCCACTGTTGTAATTACTACCTATTTCCCACAAAGGATGCAATTCTAGGTCCCATCAAAGTCAACTATCTTAAGTTTGACTAAGTTATAGACTATTTTATCAGCATGTATGACTCCAAATAGATATAGATAAGAGTATATTTCATGATGAATCTAATGATACATATTTAGTATGATAAGTATTATTATCTTTTTATATAAATTTGGTCAAACATCAGATTGTATGACTTAGCAGTATTCTAAAATTGCATCCTTTCTGAGACAGAGTTGCATCCTTTCCGGAGCGGGGGTAGTACCAATTTCCAATTTACCATGCTTCTCACGATAGGCCACATTGTATTTTCTCTGATTTTAAGCCTCTCCTGTCACTGATTCCATAGTACTTTATCTGCCTATGTGTTATGCTCCTGTTTGTTTTAAGCACCAAGTCATCTGAAGTAGTGAACTTAGGCTTTCAATCCTTAATCACAGGTAGATCATTGATCTGTGCCCCTGTGTTTTGTTTAGGATCTGTTCACTTGCTGTAATTAATTAAACATGGTGGGGGCAGAGTGTGAAGTTATACACTGTATGTATGTGTGGAGAACTTCAGTATGCACACATATTAGTATCAGACTTGACTAGTACTTCTCTCTCAACCATAAGCAGAGACAGTGACTAAGCCATAAGCACCCGTTCGCCCTGGTCCCTGGTCCCTGGTCTCCCTGTTGGGTGTAAAATGTTGAAGGGTGCCCCAGCAGAAAGCCAAATGTTATGGCATGCCTACAATCACTGATGACCCTGAAGCAATAGTTGTGTGGACCACAAACACAACATCTTTTGTTGACATGGCTAACCAGTAACTCACTTGAATTCTGTCTATCAGTAATTTCTTCCCTGAAAATTTGTGTTCCATTGAGGATCTAAATTTGGGGCTCTGTGCTGCTTTCTTATATTCCAAGACAATACTTTGAGATACAATTTACTGCATCATGCCATAATGTGACTAATAAGATAATCGACTGTCTAGTTCTCGCTTGTGCACATGTTGCTTCTTATGATTTATGACCCTCATATTTCAGTCATTCTTAGGTGCATCTTTTTTGTAGCACTCAGTGTAGCATTGTGGAATTTTGTGGCCAAACAATTGATTATTCTCTTTGTTTCTGCAACCAGGATCCAAATGACAAGAAGATAATAATCTGTGACGACAAACTGAAGAAGATATTTGGAGGGCGTGACCGTGTTGGGTTTCTTGAAATCTCTGGGCTGCTCAACCCTCACTTCCAGAAATGATAGGATTTTTTTTGTAGATCACTCCCTTTTGTACTAGCTGTGGCTGATGTATGAGCACATTTAGCTAAACCTGGTTTAAAAAGGGTCTCTTAATGGTGGTTTACTGGTTTAAGGAAGGCAAATGTGTTCCCTGAAGATGCATGTTCTTCTTATATTTTGTCATTAATGGTGTACTAGCTCTTAATCATTCATGATTATATCCTATCCACCTACCATCTTAGACCTGAGTGGTGGATCATCACATTCTTCCTTCATTATATACCTCTTAGCCTGCCCGTAGGTGACAGCTTAAAGCCAGAACCCAGTCTATGATGACCAGGGTCTACAATACGGATTTTTATTATCCTTGTCTTTGGGTTACTAATGATTGCACCACTGAACTAGCTTGCGATGATCAATGATTGCCGCCAAAACTGTTCATTTAGCAGGACGGAATGGAATATCAAATATTTTCGTCTAGAAGCCCCTCGTTCAGCTCCAAGGCCAAGAGGAGGAATGTTTTCCTTCAGTTTGACGCCATCCAAGTGCATCGCATTCTGAAGTTGGTTGGTCTGTTTGACAATTTGGCATCAGGGCACTCACTCCATTTGAAACCTGTAAGGCTGCGTTCGGTTGACATGGATTCGTGCCGTGGAATCATTCCAGCCAGGATTGCTCGTGTAATTTATATAGAATGTGCTCACCAGGATTGATTCCTACCCAGAACCAGCCCTAAACGAACAAGCCCTAAATGAAATGAATGGATGTTAACCGGGCTTCCCATGCTGGATTACAGGACGTCCTTGAACAGGTGAGCTGATCCACATGCTCTTGTCTGTGGTTTCGAAAAGTACAAAGGTCTGTCGTTTCTCAATGGTAAACGATCTTTCTAGTCTAGATTCTACTTTCCCATATTCATGCATTCAGGCAGCTTACAGGCTTCCGCAGCATTTTCTTTCATGTCGTTTTTTTTTCCTTCCCGTGATTTGTATCATTAGGAATCTGTCTTTGCAATTGCTGTTTCATGGTTTGCTAGTTCCCAAAAAGATCGTTCGAAAAATGAATTGCTGGACATTATGTGATCGCCGTCTATTTTGCGGTAATGACGGGGTTAGATTAGAAGGATAGCCTGATCATGGAATGTAGTCTGATGGTGAAATGCGAGCTGCTATAAGATGAACCAGAAGTCCAGAACGGCACTTTTTTTATTACACTGATACAACTGATTAGTGTCGGCGATCAGAGGAAATGTCGGTCAATTGCGGTCGCGTAGGAGTTGAATAAAGTTGGTGTAACCTTTTTGATAGCGAGTGGCTGCCGAGAAGGACTGGTGACTGATTCTGACTGAAGTGCGTCTTTCATTTTCTATGTGCTTTTTACAAGTGTATAACAAGCTCCTTTTTAGTTGTGTTTTACAAAGTGCAAATGGCAGAGACCATTTCTTTATTCATTGTACTGGCAAAGGATGTCCGAATCAGGTACTTTGGGTGTTTTTTTTTGTTGCCTTCTCGAACTTGTACTGTATATAATATCTTGGATGGGTGGAAGTATGTTTTGGTTCCCATTCCCATGGATTGTAGAAAAATCAAAGGAAAAACGTAGGATTGGGGTGGATTTCACATGAAAACCATGTGGATGCACTCACACTTAGCCACCCACGCGGTTAGATTGAGTTTAGGACTCATAGCTAGAATCCTTAACCAACCGATGTGGTCTTGTCTTTATTTTACCACCGATTCCACAACCAAATGGCCAACAAGGGTGAATTAGGACGAATATATACATATGTATATAAAAAAATGGTAGAACAAGTAGTAACACTTGGCTTAGAATTCTAGTTCAAAGACCAATATTAATTAGCCTCTCATACCTAACAACCTAGGTGAAATGATAAGCGATACAACAAGTAAGCTATTGACCAACAAACAATTTGTGGAAACGAAAGCTATTGATACCTTTGTACAACTCATTGAGGGACACTTTTTATTGAGAAACACTGCCACTTTATACACACACACCCACCACCAGACGCTCCTACACGCTTGTCACTTCATTTTATTTCTCGATCATATTTAAAAACAACTTTTTGACAAGTTGAGATTGTCACGTTTTTGGAGGCCGTATCAGCGTATCTAAAGTAAAGGCGCACGCGTACGTGATTTACTGTTTAGACTCGTTGGCAAGAACAGCTCATTGATCTGTACGGAGGTGCCGGGGCAAGAGAATCTGCACGTACGCTAGGTGCCCTTACGAAATTCAGTGACGATATGATGTACGTGTGCGTCACCAACGACGAAAGAAGCACGCGAAACTATTGGTTTTCGATTGTACACATATACACGACTATAGGAGTGGTAATAAGGTCAATTATTTGTTGGCATTTCAGAATTTAATTTTTTGTAGTAGTGATATGATACTGATTATGAGCCTGTTTGGTAGGGCTCTTCCCCGACTCCGGTTCTAGCTCCTCAGGAGGAGCCCTGCTAAATATTTTTCTGGATGAGCTATTTTTTCGTAAAAAATAGAGGAGCCGGAGCCGTTGTGGCTCCTCTAAAACAGTTCTGGCTCTTGCGAAGAGCCGTGCCAAACACCCCCTATATTGATCGATGTAGGCTTGTGGAATTGAACTAGTGCATGTCCATCCTGTGTGGTGTGGTTGGGAAGAGAGCGCATGCGTGCCGGCCATAATCTGTCTATAAAAAGTGTTCCGCACGTAAGCCCTGATACCAACCCACCACATACGTTAACTTAACGTTTGTTCCTACACTTCACTACAAAAACATCAGCGTATACTACCCCTAGCGGCCGCATGGCATTTACTGTCATCTTTTTTGTGCTCATCATCACCATGGGCGAACTGACGACGCAGGGTTCAGCTGGGGGCAGCGCCTACATGGGTGACATGACGAGCACAAAAAAGATGGCAGCGGATGCCATGCAGCCGGTCGTAGGCGGTGGTGTACGTTGATGTGTTTGTGATGAAGTGTAGGAACAAGTGTTAAACTAGTGTATGTGGTGATTTGGCATCAGGGCAGAGATAGAGGGAGACAGTAGAGGCTTATAGGGCCCCCAATGATTGTGAAATCTCCACTAATTTTTTTTTGAAATTTAAATAAATTTTGAAAATTAAACACTGGTACCCCCTAACATTAGAAAAAATAACTTCCTAGCTCCGCCCCTGTTTGGTATTAGGGCTTACGAGTCGGGCACTATTTATAGATAGATTGTGGCCGACACGCATGTGTTCTTCAGTTCTTCCCAACCGCAGGATGGGCATGCACTAGTTCAATTCCACCAAGCCTACATCAATCAATATAATCAGTATCATATCACTACTACAAAAAAATGATTTTTTGCCAGAGCACAAAACTTTTAACAGTTCGCTATATTCAAATATGTTTCAAGATAATTGAATATCGCTTTAGCTAGCTAGCTTCTGGTAATTCGGAGGTTCGTTATGTGATTGTGTGGGCCGGGATTTCTTGTGACACTGTAAAAGTACCCTTAAAGCTTATGTGTCGGGTTCATAAACCCGGGGTCCCCAATGGACCCGTTTTCCTACAAAACTCTCGGCATCCGAAGGACAACGGCCTAGGCTGACCCAGATACACAATGAAAGCCAAGACCACTACCCGGGCCCCGAGCAGCACCTCCGCCAGAGACACGGAGGTGCGACCAAAAGGCAGTGGTGGGAGACCGACGACCCCTTTCTCCGACCAAGAATACGTCAGGACCTCTGCTCGCTGCTCTTTCCCGACCGACACGGTCAGGTGAAAGGTCGAGATGGCGACTAGAGGGGGGTGAATAGTCCTTTTAAAACTTAATCGCGTCGGCTAACCGAAACAAGTGCGGAATTAAAACTATCGGTTTAGCCAAGACTACACCCCTCTATCTATGTTCTTTAGCACCTTTCAAATATACTAATTAAGCAATTAAGGTGCTGGGCTAGCTAGAGCTCACCTAAGCAATTCTAGGAGCAATGTCACACAAACATATGCCACTAGTACTTTAAGCGACAAGGGAGCTCCTACACATGTTAGTAAGCAAAAGCACAAAGCCACCTAAGCTCACTAGCAATGCTCAATAATAAGGCAACCAATGCCAAATTAGAGAGCGCAAATACTTAGCTACACAAACTAAGCAATGTGACTAACAAGGTTACTCAAACCAAATTAGCCACGCAAGGGAGCTACTTCTATGCTACACAAGCAAGAAGGTAACTAATATGCTACACAAGCAAACTAATTACAAGAGTAACTACACAAGCTTAATATATATGAAAGTAAATGCAAGCTTGTGTAATGGGGAAGCAAATCAACGGGAAGAACAAGGTTGACACGATGATTTTTCTCCCGAGGTTCACATGTTTGCCAACACGCTAGTCCCCGTTGTGTCGACCGCTCACTTGGTGGTTCGGCGGCTAATTAGCATACCCGCTAAGCCCGCACATCGGGCGCCGCAAGAACCTACCCCTTGAGTGAGGGTAGCTCAATGACACGCTTTACTAAAGTTGCTCTTCGCGGCTCCCGCGGGGCGAGCACAATGCCCCTCACAAAGCTCTTCTCCGGAGCTCCGCACAAGCTTCTTGCGGGCTTCGACGGAGACCACCACCAAGCCGTCTAGGAGGTGGCAACCTCCAAGAGTAACAAGCACCACCGGCTTGCAACTCGATCACCTAGTGCCACTCGATGCAACCTCACGATGTAATCGCACTAGAATCGCTCACTCACACAATCAAATGATCACTATCAAGTATATGTGTGATGGAGAGCTCCCAAGCACTCACAAGCATGGACACTAAGTACCCTCAGGTGCTCAACACCAGCCATGGCCGAGGGCCTCTTCTATTTATAGCCCCAAGGGATAAACTAGCCGTTACCCCTTCACCGGCGTTTTTTTTTTTTTGGGCTGACCGGGATGTTCCGGCGCGAGACCGAGACCGATACCACGACGGCGTCGGTGCGTCCGTTATATCGAACAGCGACCGATCGGTCGCTCATACTTCCACTATGCTGATTCAC